TGGACATGAGGGCAGCAACAGTGGCAGCAGCGGGAGGCGGAGGAGGAGGAGGGGCGGGAGGAGGCGGGACCTCAGAGGGGCTCCCAGGGCCTCGGGCGGCGTCCCTTTCCATTCTCTCAGTCTCCTGGCTGGCCGCAATGCTGTCCAGCGTGGCTCGGAGGAGCCTCATGCGGACGAGGTACGCCCTCCGCTCGGCCAGCAGGATGGGTTGGCGGACCTCGGCGGGCAGCCTGGCTCTGGCCGCTGCACAGCCCGCGAACTCGTCGGCGAGCAGGTTGCCTATGACGAGGTACCTGTTCACCTTCTGGGCGGCGACGTCCTGGGCCGTGCTGTGGGACGGCGTCCAGAGCACCGTCACCTCAGCGTGGCGGCGTGAGCTCATCAGGTCCCCGATGAGCTTCCATAGGTCGGCGTCCTCACCTGCTGGGTTCGTGTAGGCTTGGGAGTACCAGCCCGCCGCCACATATTCACAGTCCGTCACGTAGGTGAGGAACCTGGTGGTGCACCAGAGGGCGAGGTACAGGGAGTAGAGCTCTCCCCTCGCCACCACTTGGCGTGGGCCACCCAGCTGGCCGAAGACTGCACCATGTAGGTTGATCTCGGGCAGTAGGCTGGCAACGCATACTATGGCGACTCCAATCCTCATGAAATCGCTGATGCTCGCATCTGGTCCTCCGCTGGCGTCCCCGAAGATCTCGACTGGAGACTCAGCACTCCCCGCCCCAAAGATCCCTTCGGACAACTCGTTGATGCCCGTGAACTCAAGGACCGTGTCCTTCGGTGGGGGCGGGGTCTGGGTCCACTGGGTCGGTAGCAGCCCACGTAGCCAGAAGCACTCGGTGGCGTCCGTCTGGGCCATCGCAGCTGAAACCAAAGACTCTGAGCGTTCATATGGCGCGGCCTGCACGTTCTTGCTGCTCTGCCAGAATCTGTGTTTGGCCGTCTCTGGTGCCTCTCGGCAGCGGTCACACAAGTTGCTGCCCTTATAGCCCTTCAATTCATCATATCGCCTCTGTCTCGTCCAGTATCCACCTGTGGCAATATTGATCAGCAGTTCAGTGAGACGCACACCGTGTGGGAGTTGCCCAACTTGTTTGATCAACAGCCGAAATGACCGATTGTCAACTCCCTGCTCGACTCCACCTCCGCAGTAGTGCTTGGCAGCCGCGGTCCATACCACCTGGGCCGCCGACTGACGTACATCCTTCAACAGCTCACGGTGTGTGTCGAGAAACTTATTGCCCGTCCGTGTATATGGCGTCTGGAAATTGCCATTCCTCCGACCCCGTGGGCGTAGTGTACGACCACGTGTCCACATCCTCAGGGTTCCACTTGATGCGGAGGAGGGTGAGGATTACTGCGGACACTGGGCCACGAACTGCACGCACCTGATGTTGGGGATCCAGCTGGGATAGGTGGTCTCGGACATGATGCCATACTTGTCGTACTCGCTGGCGCAGACCTGGTTGCTGCTGCCAGACGCTGAGCCACATGTCCACGGTCTTGGCTGGCATCGCCACGGCAGGGTCCCCTCCTGGCGCTCTCAGGTCCAGGAGGGTAGTGAGGCATCGGCCTCTCGTGGCAGCAGCACAGGTCTGACCGAGTCGGCGGCGATGGGTTGTCAGCTGGTGGCCGAACATCCCGTGCACCTCGAAGCCGTAGGAGCCCGCAGGTTGGCAGCCATTGCGTTCCAGCCGCGTCGTAATCCCATACCGTCGAGTAGCTCGGCTGAATCTCCTCACCTTCTCGTTCATCGCTCCGTGCTTGATCTGTCTCTGCATCCTGGTGGCACGTCCCTGCTTGCCGCAGCTGAAGTCCACCCCCAGGTACGGCGCCTGCGCCATGGCCCTGACTGGGAAACCCTTGAGCCTGGCGGCCCTGGCCACAGCTCGGGCGTCGTCGGGATTCGTGCACATGATCACAGACTTCTTGGCCAACTTGAGGCCTGCCTTAGCTAGCTCCTGGCCCGCCTTCACGGAGGGGAGATAAGGGTGATGGAGGAAAAGGGAAGGAGGGGAGGAGGAGGAGGAGGAGGAGGAGCAGGAGGAGGAGGAGGAGGAGGAGGAGGGATGTGTGGAAGGAGGGAGGGCGGGGGGGGTTAGAGAGGGAGGGGGGGGGAGGGAGGACGGGGGGTCGGTCGGACTCGGCATTGCAGCAGCCTGGGCGCCGCGTTGCTCAAGGCTCTCGCTCCGAGAGCCAATGCGGGTACACCAGTAGCTACCGCCACCCTCCCCTGTCAAGGGAGGCCATGCCCTGAGCCCCAGGCTGCCCAACTCGCAGAAGAGGGAGCGCGGCGGACGGTGCGAAGCACTAATCTAAAAGCCCATACAAGCGAAACGCAGAAACGCTTCAAAGCAATGCCCTGGCACTGCTTTGAACGTTTTGAAGCAGTGCCGCGGCACTGCTCACATGGGGGGGATGGCACACGCAACATCGGGGGCAGCAGCAGCAGGATGATTTTTCCACCTTGCACTGTCCGCAACTGCGGCTATCAGCACCATGCTGCACTTGTCCGCAGCGGCGGCTATCACCACCGTTGCGACTCGAAACCCCATGGGGCGCGGTCGGCCGACGGCCCCCAGGAGTCCGCGCTTCGCGTGGAGTCCCACTGGCTTCCGTGTCGCCCCCCCACGCGCGAGAACGCTCAAAAGGCGAGTCCTCAGTGGCACTGTCCGGAACTGCTGCGCGGTCAGAATGCCACCGCTGCCACCCATCAGCACCCCATCCCGTCGAGTGCCAGTCCCACTCGGACCAATCGCGCCATCCCGTCGCGGGACCGTGCGCCTCCGGTGCGCCGCTGCCGTTGGCGCTTCAGGACCGAGCAGCCACTGCGGCATAAGAAGTGGTCGCATCGTCGCTGTTGGCAGACTGCGGCAGCTGCGGGTTCCAAGTTCGCTCAGCCAGAGCGTCTCTCCCCGCAACTTCGGCTCACATGTGGCTCTGGGCGCCCTTCCCTGCAACTGCGGTGTCCGTGTCGCCGCCCTTCCTGGGGCTTCTCTTGCCCACCTTTGCTTTCGCCAGCTGCTCCTGTTTCTCCAACCTCTGGGCGAGAGTTTTTCAGGTGACCTGCGGCACGTGTTGTGCGTGAAAGCCACCAGGGGGGAATGCGCTCCGTTCCGCGCTTTGCCGACGGCGCCGTGTCAGATCTTGTCGTCGAGCTTGCCGTGCCTGACTCTCAAGGGATGGCGCGTCCACTCGTCGCGCGCCCTGTGCGCCATCTTTCTGGCGAGGTTCGTATCTGCGGCCACGGAGTCGTCAGATGGCGTCAGGAAGGCGCGCATCTTGTCTGCGACGGGCTCAGCCTTGAGCGCGCAAGTCCGGAGCATCTTCCCAGGACCATTCGTGCAGTCGAAGACTCGGAAAGATGGGTCATGTTGGATGGTCAAGAACCCGCCTTCGCGGTCATGCAGGGCGTCCAGGCCGTGGTGAAGGTTGCATTCCCAAGGACAGCTTATGAACATAATCGCCGTGCTGTCTGCCCTGGGCTGGCCGCCTGCTGTCTTCCAGGCGGTCCATGCGGCGACGTCCACAGCGATTCCGCAACTGCGGCACCAGGACACAAGCTGGAGCATGCAAGTGTTGAAGTCCCCCATGCAGACCTTCACGTCCCACTCCGCGACGTAGGATACGAACCGGTTGTAGAACTCATGGAGTTTCTTCACGCCCCAGTCTTAGTTGGTCGAGCTGTGGTGGACGTGCACCGCCATGACGCTGAAGGAGCTCTCCAGATGGGGCGCGCCCTGGTCCAGTTGGATGCGCACCACCATCGCCCTGGAGCACTTGTTGTGCCACTTTGGTGCAGGACCCTTCGCAACTGCGGATTTGTTATTATTTTTCTTCGTCTTGGATTTCTCCCGCTTGTGGAAGGGCCTCGTAAAGTCGACCTGATCAACGTGGCCCCCACTGCGGTCTCTGATGCCAACAAGGAGGGCTCCTGAGGGCTCACCGCCCTTGACGCACATGTAGTTGTAACGGGTCCGATTCTGAAACTTCTCGTCCTCGTCCGCAACTGCGGATGCGCTGTCACGCGCGTTGCGCTCCCCAGAGAGTTCCTCGCAGGTCGCGTCGTCGCACTCGCACAGGACGATGAGTTGGGCAGGGTCCGCGTGGATCTGCGCCCACTCGTCAGTGCGTTGCCTAGGGCTAGCTGCCGTCGGTCCGAACTTGGCCACGTAGAAGGTAGAAGCCGACCCGTCCCGCTTCGGACTCCGCTTTCTGCTTCCATGCGTTGACAAGGATTCTCTGCTTCTCCGACATACGGCTTGTCTGGATGACGGGCGCCCGCCTCCAGGGGCGCGTATTCGACAATTCTTTCGGCCTGTCGGAGTTTTGTGCTGCCGCAGCTGCGGCTGCCGCACCTACCTGTAGCTCCGCCCCGTCCTCCGCCTCGTCGGCGGGGGTAGCCGCGGGGGGGAGGAGCGCGGGGCCCCGACGCCCAGAGCGCTGAAGAGAAGGGTCGGAGAAGAGAGCTCGGCGCGGGCACGAGCTCTCGGAGGTCCGCGCGGATCTCGTGGTTTTGCGCTGAACCCCTGTGCATGGCTCGCTCCGTGCGCCAGGGGCGGCGCCAGCGGCACCGCCAGGGGCAGCCCGGCGCCGAACACTGAAATCCGCGCTGACCCTTCGAAAGCTCATGTTAAAGGAACTTGTCCGTTTTACTATCAGACCCGGCGTTAAAGGAAGGATTTTTTTCGCCAGGGCACCTTGCATCCTTCGGTTATGGCCATCCTTGGGGCGTTTTCGCCTTCCCAGCCCAAGGCGTCCATTGCATCCTTGGGTTAGTTCAGGGTCGGCGCGCTTCTCTTCATTCCGGCGCGTTCCAGGTGTCATGCATCCTTAAGTTCCATCTTTACGATTGGTTTTGATTGTAGGGGAGGGAGGGCGGGCGCGCGCGATGGAATGGGCAGGTGCCCTTATCGAGTCAGCAATAGAGCCAGGTCATGCAGCGGTGACAGGGGAGGTAGCGAGGGAGGGAGGAGCTCACGCCCCCCCCCACCGTGCCAGCCGAGCTCGGCCAGCTCGCTCTGGACGCCGTTGCTGCAGCCGACGGCGAGGAGACTGGGGATCGGCAGCACGGACCTTCCTCCTTTTTTCTCGGGCATTGCTAACGGGGTCCTTTTCCACCCCCTCCCCACTCGTGCCCCTCCTCCCCCCCTCCCTCCCCCCGCCTCCCTCCTCCTCCTCTTTCTGCTCCTCCTCCTGCCCCCTTCTCCTCCTCCTCCTCCTCTTCCTCCTCATGATTCTTGTTTACTGATGGCATGGGCGTGCCCCGCACGCTCCCGCTTACCCCAGGGCTGGCCAAAAGCCAGCCTTGGGGGAGTATGAGGAGATAGTAGAACAACAGGCTAAAGTAGACAGACAGGCAGGAGGAGGAAGGAATGATAGGGCATCACATCGATCATAATCACAGGAGGAACGGAAGAGGACTGGGATGCTGGCGGTTAAGGTGTAGTGGCGTTGCAGAAAAACAAGTGTGGGGCCATGGCCCTAGTGCCTTTTAGTTTTGAGGCTCAGCGGGGTCCCCCAGAGTCGCCTGGCCGCGCTGGGCCAGCGCTCCAGAGGGAGCCCAGGGTCCCCCTCGTCTGAAGGTCTTGGAGCCATCTTGGACAATATTGAGGCCAAAGTTGCCCGTCTTCGAACGATCTTTGGCCGTATTGGAGGCATCCGGGCGTCTGGAGCGCGAATACGGTTTCAGTCTGCGAGGGATTGTGTTGAGTTCACTCCTGCAGCGAGCTCGCTCCTGCAGCGAGTTCGCTCCTGCAGCGAGCTGCCGATGGCATGAAGGGCCTGGCAAATGGCAAAGCTGAAGGTCAGTAGGAAACATGGTCGGTGTCAGGACTGGTCCGACTAGACACCGCCGCCGTCGGAGAAGGACCACCTCAGCGCATTTCGCTTGAGCCCATTGGTGTTGGACGCATCTTGGGCAAAGCTACCGATATATTCATAACTGCGGAGCCGAGCACATTTTCTGCAGCAGGCATGGGCAAAGCTACCAGACCGCAGCATCTAACCACACCGTCTTCATCTTCATCTTCACCCTCACCTACTCCCCCGGTATTTTCTGCGCCATTTTCTTGCCAGCCAATTCGGGGCATTCCGGCCTGTCAGTCTACCTCGGCGCTGGCACCTCCTTCCCCAAGCCTCTCCTCGGGTAGACTACGGTTTTCCTGCAGACCTTGCTGCCTTGGCCGCATGGGTACGTGGAACAGCGAAGGTTTACGCGGTGACTCCATCATCAAAACTGACGAAATCATCGGCGTCATGCACACTAACGAACTTGATATCTGGTGTAAACAAGAGACGCACCTACATGGACCATAATACATACTATACGCGAAATGGCTACACGAGTTTCTTTTCAGGCGAGCTGGACATGGATGCCAACTCACACGCAGGAGTAGGGCTCATGGAGGCGCCAAGAGTTTTTAACAGCACTGTTGCATTCAAGGCGTGCAACTCTAGAATGGCCTCCCTCAGAAGCAAAGTTAGACGTGGTATGCTAACGTTGCTGTGCGCATACGCCCCACAACGGGCGCCCATATGAGGAGCGGCACTCTTTCTACATTGATCTTCCGGCGCATACCAGGGCAACCACTGCGAACAGCACGACTTGTATCACAGGAGACATGAATGTACGGCTCTTGTTGGTTGGAGCCGGAGAGCAAGATATCATCGGCCCCCATGTGTTTCAGTGCCCAGTTGTTGCGGATAATACGGTTCAGAATAGTATTTCTGGTTGCAAACACATACCACGGTAATCCATTAAGCATGAAGATTTCTTATAAGGATCTGGGCGTCGACCCGTCAGACAGGGTCGTTTCGGGGCACAAGTTCGCTCCGATAGACCACGTGCTCTGCCACCGCCGTGTTCTACATACTTCGCACGATACTTGGACGAGCAAGCGGGACGCGCTTAACGCGAATCATTATCTCACCACTGTTGTTTCCAAATTGGCTCAACCTCAACGATACTTCACACAAGCAATACATGGACAAGGCCAGCCTCAAATATCCGTGCGTACAAAGGCAGGCGATTTGCATCAACATTCGTGGAGGCCGTTGGCAATCCGATGCGTGCCGGGATGGATTCCGCTGAGGTTTTGAATTGCAAGATCCGACATGGTTTTGAAGCAATTTCTGAAATTCTAGACGCTTCGCGTAACCCCACCAGCCCATCCAGAAACGATGCCCAGAGGAAGTGCCTCGATCAGGGAAGTGGGCAGCACACAAAGGAAGGGTACCCCAGTGGAGGCCGGCTGGAGCGTCTTAGGGGCCTTTTGGCGGTCCCGGACGCCTCTTAGAGCGTCAGGGGTGCTTTGGAGAGCTTCTTGGGGCCTCTTGGGGGTCTCTTGGGGGCCTCTTGGAGGCCTCTGGGGCGCTTGTTGGGGCCTCCTGGGGCCTCATGGGCGCCTCGTGGGGCCCTCTTGAAGCGCTCTTGGGAGCCTTCAGAGCGCTCCTTGAGCCCTCTTGGGCTATCTTGGAGTCATCTTGAAGCCTCGGATGGCCATCGGATGCGAAAAGGCGAGAAAGCCCAAAATGCTGATTTTCCGAAGGTTTTGGAAGGATGTTGGCCTCTTCGGGGCCTCCTGGGGGAGCTCTTTGGCCACTTGGAGCCGTCCTGAAGCGGTCTTGGGGCCTCTTGGAGCATCGTGGGAGCCATCTTGAGGCATCTTGGGATATCTTAGGCCATCTTGGAGGTCATCTTGGGCTCTCCCAGGCGCTCTTGGAGTCATGTGAAGCAGCGCCACCCCCCCAGGAGGCCCAAATGTGGCCAAAACCTTAGTAAAATCAATGATTTGGGCATTCTCGCCGAGGCCTCTTGGAGCGTCTTGGGTGCCCTTGGGGGGTCTCTTGGGGCCTCGTGGGGGTCTCTTGGGAGCCTCTTGGGGGCATCCTGGGGGCCTCGTGGGAGCTTCTTGGGGCCACATGGGTCGTTTGGGGCGCTCTTGAAGCGCTCTTGGAGGCCTCAGAGGCGCTGGTAGAGCCCATATTGGAGGGGATCTGTCAAAGAAAGCGGAAGCACTAATTAGCGTCGCTCCTGGAAAGCCTTTAAAATCGCCTCCTGAACCGCTTTTGGAGGGCTCTTGGAGCGCTCTTGGGCGCTCTTTGCGCCGTCTTCGGGCTTTCTTGGGCCCTTCTTGGAGCTATCTTGAGCCATCTTGGAGCTATCTTGACGCCTCGGGTGGGCATCGGAAGCGAAAGCGCGAGAACGCCAAAAACATTGATTTTCCCAAGGGTTTTGAAACATTTTGGCTTCTTGGGGGCATCCGAAGGGAGCTCTAGTGGACACTTAGAGCCGTCTTGGGGCGGTCTTGGAGCGTCTTGCAGCATCTTCGGAACCATCTTGAGGCATCTTGCGCTACCTTGAACCATCTTGGAGGCGATCTTGGGCTCCCTGAGGCCCTCTTGGAGTCGTCTTGGCTCATCTTGGACGCTCCAACGCGTCGCGGCCCCCCCTGTCCAGGTCAGTGGGGAGGGGGTAGGGGGAGGGGTAAACCCCTCCCCGAAGGGGAAGAAGGAGGGGTAGAAGAAGAAACGCTCTAAACCACCGACGCCCGGAGGGCTGGTGGGACTTTTGCCCACACGGGAATTTACTCCTTAGCCGGCGTGGACCAGTCGACGCACGTTCGGTTTAACTGAACACAGAAAAGCCGCTCGTACAGCTGGGGACCACGACGCAGAGAAACGTTCGCACACATCGATTCGTAAATCTGGAGCGCAAGATCGACGAGATTGGTTGGATGTATTATTGCAAAATGGTGGTTGGGAAGGGGCTCGCTATTTGAAGAAGCCGAACACAGCATGCGACGGTCACGCGGCCTGATGGATCATTCGCGGACGCGGCCAATCGGCCAGATGTATTGGCATATTATTTTGAAGACGTCCAGTGGCAAGTCCGGCTTCCAGAGCTAACCCCAGAAGCGCGTGCGCCCATTGGACAGACATTGCCGATCGACGCAGCAACAATCACCATGAAGGAGTTGATTGATGCGCTGCACCGTAAAGCTGCTGGGCCAGACGGTATCCCCCCAGAGTTTGGAAGATCCTGGGTTCGCACCGGGACGTTCCTGCGACTATGCTTCAGTTATGTCGGAAACGCGGGGGTCAAACATCAATTCTGGACTCTTTGGAGGCATTCGAACGTAGTTCTTTTGATGAAAAGCAGGAGATAGCATTGCCAGAAAATTGCAGACCCACTTCATTGCTACAAGTTGGTTTTAAATTATCGCTTCAATGTTACATCAACGGCTGATTCGCGGTGGTGCTGAAGCCCGCACGCGCGACTCTCAGTTTGGCTTCCGCCCCCGGCGTGGGGCAGCTGACGCGCTCATGCTTGTCTGGCGCATGATCGACGCTGCACATAACACCCAGCACGGTGTCCTTATTCTTCTAATGTTGGATGGGGCCAAGGCGTTCGACAGGCTCAAAATAGAAAGCATGTACAACGTTCTGCGCCGCTTTGGGTTTCTTGCTGTTATGGTGGACATGCTCAAAGTTATTAATCCCGAGCGTTTCTTCACCATTTTCGACCGTGCCGCGAAATCAAAGAGAGGCGACAAATGGCTGGCATCACTCAAGGGTGCCTGTTCGCACCCTAATTATTTGTGGCTGTGCAGTTAGTCCTGCTTGAAGATGTTTTTGAAAATATTGGTTTGGAGGCTGAGCCGGCTCACGTAGCAACGCGAAACATTATGTACGCAGACGACACGATGTTTGCCTCGCGCAGCAAACTTAATATTCAAAGCATGCTGAACGCTATTGTATTGGAAGGGCAGAACGATGCGGCAGAGCGACTTGGTGGAGGCCCTATCAAGGTGGTCCGGGAAACAGTGTCTTTCGGTGGAACGTCCACTTGCGATGGCAAGGCGGCGCCAGAGGTTACCCGGCGCCTCGGCGAAGCGCAACACATTTCAAGCAGGTCGCACGAATCTGGCTCCCTACAGCACTCGGGGGGCGAAGAAAATGCAAAGTGTAGGACAGACGCGTCCTTGGTAACTTGTTGTATTGCCTGGACACCCTTACTGGCAATTGCAAGCTGACTGGCGCAGACCCGATGCGTTGCATTGCCGGCGTTTGAGGCGCATTTTGGGTATCCAGCTTTCTTTTGTTTCAAGAATAAGAAGTTCATACGTTCTAGACAGGGCCAGCGTCGGGTCATTTTCTCAAGGATCATTGGGCAGACACAAATATTGCACCATACAGTATCAAGCGGCCCTGTGTCGCTCGCACGTCAGATGGTCTGCCAACAGGATTGTACACCAAACGCTTGGGTGGTACATTGGCGTCGCGGCCGGCCAAGACAGCAGTGGACTTCACCGGTGTATAGAATTTGTCTGCCAGCGTAATTGATGTATGACGTGACGCAATATTTGTCATGCATTTTGATGGTCAACATGATCGTCCTCTCCCTTCTCTTGTCGTTGTCCTCCCAGCGCGCGCTTGGTGTCTCGCAGCCGCGCAACCACGCGTTCGGCGTGTCTGTCGCCCGATGCGGCGCGCATTTGGCGTGTCTGCTCCGTTGCGCCCAGGCGTCCTACTGGACTCATGGCTTCACTGACTGAGGGATTGTGGCCTCGGGAAGAGGGGCCAGTGCATGCAAGTAAGTGCCACCGGGAGGGAGGGGGGCCCTTAGATAATGAACCACGAGCCCCACCCGACAACATTTGGCATTCCAGCACGCCTCAGCGTGCCACGGTGCACGGTGGCGGATGGCCGGCCACATTGAGCTTCCGGCCACGAGCAAATTCCCCGACAGGAGCTGCGCGAAAACCAGAACCTTCTTCAGCCCAGCGAAGTCCTCAATTCGGAGTCTTGTGATTTGGCTGTGCCTAAATTGCAGAGGCGTGCGCCGCACAATTCCGTCACTCATCGGCCATGCACCACTCGCGCGGAGGACGAGTGGTCTCACCTGTTTTAGGCATGTTGCGTGGTGCTCACGTCGCCTGAAGCGTCAGCAAGCCCGCGCGGGCGCGCGGGGAGAAAACCAGCCATTCCTCCGAGCACCCTGCGGTAGGGCCAGCCCTGGAAAAGAAGCCATGTGATGGTGGACGAGAGAAGCCCCCCTGTAAGGAGATGTCTTTCCGTAAGGGAAAACCAACACAGTGATGGTGGAAAAGGAAACTAATGTGATGGCAGGGCCAGCCCTGGTGAGACGAGGTTTCCCCCCCCCTCTGCGGTATACCTCCCGAGCCATTTTTGTTCGCGGCGTGGACCCCAGGAGCTCCCGATGCCGACCCCAGGGCTAGCTTTTCCCGTCCCAGGAGTTTGTTTCGGGGGTCGCCGCTGACGGGGGTCAGCCGATCCCCTCTGGCTGGCATGGGTTTGAGAGCCACGCGGGGTCGATTGCCCCTTTCCGCTCTCTGCTGGCCCGGGTCTGGGAGGTATTGGGCGGCCGGCCAAGCTTAGTGCGTCCCCGATTCATTGCTGGGCATCGGTGCCCGGGACGGGCTTCTGGACGTCCAAGGGCTTAGAAACAAAGGCCGTCGCTGTCCAGTGGTCTGTGGCCCACACCGCCACCGAGCCTAGGTTGTGGACCGCAGGTTTCTTAAACATATTTTGTCTTGGGAGGCCACCTCGAGACCTGTCTAAAGCCTCTTGTCGCGGGAATGCCCAGGAATTCCCGGAACCTAAGAGTCTGGGCCCTTCATTGACAAACATTCGAAGAGAAAACAACCACATAAACCGAATCTATCCGCACGGATTTCTTGGAACGGCGTTGGACCCCCCCCATGGTGTTCGGAACGCGCCAAGGGCGGCGCTGGAGGCGCCGACCGGGGGGCACAGCGCCGATCGAAAAAATCTGTTCGGACCTCCAAAAGTTGATGTCGATGTAGTTTCTCTTCTGGCGGGACACAGCACAGGGACCGAGGACACTCCACAGGGACCGACACAGCACAGGGACCGAGGACACTCCACTCGGTGCAGCGGCGAATCTGCTCGTGGCCCCGAGGAGGCCTTGGCGCGCCCGACCCAGCACAGCCCGACCCCTGCACCGGCATGCCACGTCCCCTCGTCGATTGTTGCCGTCTTCGTCGCCCTCGGCGAGCCGCCGTCGTTGCCGCCGCCGCCGCCGACTCCGTCGTCGTTTTCGTCGGCGCCCTTCTTCCGCTCAGGAGCGGCCCGCCAAGGCCCCGCGCACCTGGGTCTCGCAGCCCTGCGCTCCGCAGGGCAGCGCCAAGGGCGTCGGCAAGGCGCCCGGGCCGCCGCTCGCCGCCGCCGCTCACCGCCCGGGCTGTCGGCGCCGCCGGCGTCGTCGTCGTCGCCGTGATTGAAAGACGGCGGCCGTTGTTGTTCAATCCCTCCCGGCGTTTTTCCTCTTGTTTCAGCTTCCAGGGGCCCATCTTCGGGCCCTGGTACCCTCCCAGACCTCCCCCCCCCAGGTGGGGAAGGGATCAAAGGAAAAGAGGCTCCCCATCGACTCAATTACGACTTCGATTGCGACCTGTTTCGATTCGCCTCGAGTTGACGAGCCTGGCGCGCCAAAGAGGGTGATGAGCTGGGCGCGCCCAAGAGAACGCCACAGGGTGCTCCGAAGACGACAAACCCAGAGCTCCCCCTCACACACGCCGACAGGGTCGGCGGATTTTGGCCTCAGGGGACCCATTCTCAAGCCCTGGAGCCAGCAAAAATGCGTTTAGAGAGAATTTCTCCGGGGCAGGAATTGGGACCTCTGAGACCGCGCGTTGACAAAGTTACGTCAGCGGATGCCAGGGCCTGCCGCCGCGCCCAACGTCGTCGCCTCCGCCGCCGTTGCCGGTCGCCGCCGCCGGCGTCGTCGTTGTCATCGTCGTCGTCGTCTCCCAACGGCGTGATGGTTGACCAGATCTCCTCGTGCCTTCTCCCTCCTTCGACTTATCCTCACAAGAGATTATCATCGTCCTGGTTTCGTCTTAAGGACGAGGAGGAGGAGGAGGAGGGCAGCGGGAGAGCTGCTCCAGCAGAATGAGGGAGGAGTGAGGGCCTCCCCCTTTGCAACTCCTCCTTCCCTGCCCCCTGTTCGTCCTCGCTCTTTCCTCCTCGCCTTCCATCCTCTGTACTCCTCGTGGCTCCTCCTCGTCCTCCCTCTTCCCTCATCCTTTTCCCCTTCCTTGCGCCAGCCCACGATGTGTGTTGATGTCAATGTTGGCCTCGGTGCTGCAAGCACGTCCTTCGCTTGCCCCAGCCAGACGTGCGTGGATTTCTGGCTGGCACGTCCGCCCTGGTGCCCTGGAGGTGCCGATCAAAAGCTGGCAGGCCAAGCGGCCAGCGGCCCCAGGAGCCCGAGGCTTGCTCACGACTCACGCAGAGGTCACCGTGAACCAAAGAAGCAGTCCCTCCTCGTGGGCCCTCTCAGAGGAGGAGGAGAAGGAGGAGAAGGAGGAGGAAGAGAAGGAGGAGGACGAGGAGAAGGAGGAGGAGGAGGAAGAAAAGGGGTAGGGGGAGGAGGAGGAGGAGGAGGAGGAGGAGGAGGAGCAAGGCTTTCCCGAGGCATCCTGCTCTTTTCTGAGGCCCGCCGTCGTCAGCAATTCCCTCCTTGTCGGGGCCCCCTCGGCCAACCTTATCTCGTTGAACGCCCCGGGGGGGGCCGACGCCGCCGCCCCACCTGTTTTTGGCACGTGGAGACGCTGCTAGGCTTGGTGGAGGAGGTGGAGGGCAAGTGAGCGCCGCAAAGAGACGGGGTCGTCTGCGCCGACAGTCGCGTGTCATCTGCCCGCAAAAGGCCGCGCGTAAGCGCCCTCGTTTCCATTGTAGCGTGCCGCGCTGGCGACCCGCTTAAGCTACCGCTCAAGGTCGCGGTGCATCTCGCGTAAGACCCGGTTCTCTTCGCCGCTCAATTGAAATGGTCCAAGAGGGCAAGAGTGGATCCAAGACGGCCCCAGAGGGCTTCCCCAAACCACAAAAACTGCCCAAGAGGGCCCCAAGAGGCTCCGCAAGCAGCCGCAAGGGGCACCCAGAGGTTTCGAAAACGGCGGACGAAGCCGAATTGGCTGTGGGCCTCAGAAGGCCCTCCGGGGACCCCCTGGAGGCGTCCAGGACGGCGCAAGAGGGATCCGAAAGGGCGGCCAGATGGCCCAAGATGGGACCGAGAGGCTTTCAGGGCGGCTCGAGAGGCCTTATTCCAACGTGGCTGGAGGGGCCCCCAAGAGTGCCACAAGAGGCTCCGTGAGAGTTCCAAGAGGCGCAAATGGAAGCTCGGCAATTCGGAAAACATCGAAATCGGTGTGTTTTTTGAAGGTGTCTGGTATCCTTGGGTTTTTTGGCTCAACGTGACTCGAAGAGGGTTTCGGAATGGTCCGAGACGCATGTAACCTAAGCCAATTCCTTCTGAGCATGTTCTGGGACAGGTGATCGCAGGGCGCGTGGAGCCAGCTATAGGCAATTGCAAGGTCACAGATAAAAGCCATCGACAACCCACCTGTGACCTTTCTCCCTCCTTCGCCTGTCTCGTCGTATAACTATTCTAAGTCTGATCCGATACGACCCGCTTCCGATCCGAAGCGAACCAACATGGGCTTTTGATCCCGAGCGGCCGATGAGGAGGTCAGTCTTCTCTTGTCGCGGTCGCATGGCCGATCGATGCGACCCGCTCTGCCCAAAACCTCTGCCGGCGCGATGATGTGTGTGTGTGTGTTTGTCGTGTTTGTCGTGTGCTCGTCCGGTCCCTGGGAGGCCCTGAGTTTGTACCCCAGCACTTGCTGCACGTAGCGCCCGCCAAGTGCAGCAACATTGCGGGACCCCCATTGGCACGTTCCGTAGCGCGTCCCCTAGGCATGGCCCGCGGTGCGTGCCCATGGCGCGTCCCCTGGCACGTCGCATGGCGCGTCCCTTGGGACGTTCCGCTGCGCGTCCTCCTGGCATATCCCCCTGTCGATCAGCTCTAGGGCAGCTACCATCTGCTCAGGCAGCTCGAGCTTAAGATCCAGATCAGTTCGGTCAGGACTTGGATGCAAAGAGGACTCGATCCACAACTCTATATAGAGCACAATCGCCGCATGCCACATCGCAGTTCAGCACGGTCCAGCACAGCACAGCCCTCGGCACGGCAGCATTGCAACCTGGCACGTTCCCTGACACGTTCCGTGGCGAGTCCCCATGGTACGTCGCGCGGCGCGTCCTTTGGCACGTTCCGTGGCACGTCCATTGGCATGTTCCGTAGCGCGTCCTTTTGGCACGTCCCGCGGTGCGTCCCCGTGGCACGTCCCTTGGCACGTTGTTTGGCGCGTCCCTTGGGACATTCCGCGGTGCGTCCTCCTGACATGTTCCCTTGTCAATTAGCTCTGGAGCAGCTACTATGATGTGCTCGGGCCGCTCGAGCTTAAGATCCAGGTCAGTTGTGTCAGGACTCGGATGCAAAGGAGGACTCGATCCACAACACTATAGAGCATAACCACGCCATGGCACATCGCAGTTCAGCACGACGCAGCACAGCACAGCCCTCGGCAAGGTACATCAAGATCGATACGTTCAGCATTGCAACCTGGCACTTTCCCTGGCACGTTCCGTGGCGCGTCCCGTGGCAAGTCCCCCTGGCACGTCGCGCGGCGCGTCCCTTGGCACGTCCCGTGGCACGTCCATTGGCACGTTCCCTAGCGCATCCTTTTGGCACGTCCCGCGGTGCGTCCCCGTGGCACGTCCCCTGGCACGTCGGTTTGCGCGTCCCTTGGGACGTTCCGCAGCGCGTCCTCCTGATTAACTCTGGGGCAGCTACTATGTGCTCAGGCAGCTCGAGCTCAGGATCCAGATCAGTTCGGTCAGGACTCGGATGCAACGGAGGACTCGATCCACGACGCTATAGAGCACATTCGCGGCATGGCACATCGCAATTCAGTACGGCGCAGCACAGCACAGCCCCCGGCATGGTACAGCAAGATCGATACACTCAGCATTGCATTTGCACGTCGCCCAATCAGGTGTTTTTGAAACGCTGCAATGCCTTACATGTCTATATCCCTTTCCAGGTTCGTGGGTCGATCATGTTTCCTTACCATCCATTTCGGGTGTCCAGATCCCCGTCGGCCACCCTCCGTGGTCCGAGAGACGAGCATTCGCAGACCTGCCGCTCTGAGAGTCTACGTCTCCCAGATGGCGTGGATCGCTCTCCTCGCCGATGCATCGACGACGCGGCTCGATGCCGAGACCGATTTTCGCAACGCCGGTGGCGCCGATGCGTCGCCGACGTCGCCCATGCATCGGCGATGCATCGCGATGCGGCGCGATCCTCCGACCCCATCTCCGCGGGCCCCATTCGGGCCGGACGAAAGGGGGGGATAGGGAAAGGGGGGGGGGTTACGAAATCCGCTGCATGCAGCTGGTTTCGGCCCCGCCGCCGGGCCCATTCCTCGATACATGGGTGAGCCGATTCTCAACCCCCCCCCTTTGCTATCCCCCCCTTGTCGCCCGGCCCGACCCATCCAGGAGGCCTAGAGCATACGGAGGCCTGCCGCTCTGAGAGCCCCCTGCGAGGCGCGCCCAGCCTGGGCGCGCACGGAGTCACTCAGGAGGGGAAAAAATACACAGGCACAATTAATCGTCGATCCCTAGAAAAGTATGGGAAAATATGGGAAGTGGGGGGGAAGACAAAAACCCAGAAAATATACGAAGATCTGGGGAATCCTGTTATTCGTGTGCATTTATTGGTATGATCCAGGGCCCCTTTAGTCACGTGCCCTGCGGCGGGGCACTCAAAAGTGTGCCACCAGGCGCGCTGCAGCAGCTCATTCACCTTGCAGTGCAGCGTTGCCTTCCCTGAGGTCGACGGATGAGAAAAATGGCCACCCTCCGCCCGCCGCCAGAGGCCACGGGCAAGGACGGCAAGGGCTCGCCTGCACCAGCCATACTGAACGGCGAGGGGCACGTGTTCGAGGGCGGGATCTGGACCGGGGGTGGGCTTGGGAGGAGCCAGGCCTCCCGAGTGGGTGCCGACTGGATCTGGGGACCGCAGGTCGCGCCGTACTTCGCCGATGCATTGGCGATGCGGCTGGATGTGAAGCCCGACTGTATCCACGCCGACGGCGCCGATGCATCACCGACGCATCGTTGATGCATCAGCGATGCGTTGGCGATGCGGCGCGATCCTCCATCCCTGTCTACGCAGGCCCCGTCTTGTTGGCTCCAGAGGAAGAGCCCTCCTCGGATCTGGGCGTCACCGAACAGGTCGCGGCGGCTGGATTTACAACGGCTTCGTCGTCGTTTGGCTGCCGTCTTCGGCGGCGAGCGAGGAAGGGGAAGTGAGAAACAGAAGGCCTCAGAAGGCGGCGGGGCGTTTCAGGAGCGCTATGGCCTTCTGACAAGTATTCTATGTCTTCGTGGAAGGCTTAAACAAATTCTCAGAAGGCTGGGGGACTACCGAGCCTTCTGACAAGGCCCGCTCCTTCTCACCTCCCCCCGTGCTCGCCGCCGACGTCTCCTGTCCTGGGGGCATGCAGACAGATGCTCAGGGTGAATTGCCTGCCCTGGCGAAGGGGTCGAGATCCCTGTGGGCCCACGTCACAAAAACATGCGTATGGTCGGTTTGCATTGGATTTGCACTCGCGGGGGCTTCTGGATTGCACCCTGGGGTGCACCCAGGGGGAATCGGGGAGGGGCGGGAGGCGGCATGCACGGGGAAGTGGGAAGGGGGAGAGCGGAGGCAGGAGACAGGGGGATGGAAGGGATTTTGCACCGAGCGTTCCAGTGAACTCAAAGGGGGAGGAGGACGTGGAAAAGTATGATGAGGCGCATCTCCTCCCTACCCGCAGCGCGCCTTCAGATTGAAAGCTTGGGAGGATTGGGAGGGAGGACGAACAAGAGGAGGAGGGGATAATTCCAGCCAGTAGCCGTCGTAAGGTTGAAGGGTGTTCTTGAATATTGTTAGCCGAACGAAGTGCCCCCGCTCCCCCACATCCACCCACCCACCCACACACACAGACCACCCGTTGGCCGCCCTTTCACGCCTCCCTCTTCCTCCCTCCTCGCTTGTCCTCCCCATCCTCTGGCCCAATCCCGCGGGGGCGCGGGCGTTCCAACGCGGGCGAGGGATGTGTGGGACGCCCGCGCCAAGACCATCGTGCCAATGGGACTTCGGGTTGGGGGCCCGTTATCCCCATTCGTCTTGAGCCAGGGGAGGTCAACCAACGGCAAGGGCGAGACAGCGCAAGCGCGCGCCAGAAAACGCACCGCACAGGTACTCCGTGATCTGGAAGGCAGTGGCGAAGGTCAGGATCACTAGCCAGGGTCAGTCAGTGGTTGCTCGCCTGCATGGCGAAGCAGCTCGTCGCAAACTAGTGGGGGCAGGCCATGCAGAGATAGCTGAAACCCATCGTGCGGTGGTTTGAGCTGGCAGGATGATCAAGTGGCGGTGGTGCACTGTGTGAGCCTGAGGTAACCGGATCGCTAGCACAAGGTCCCGTAGTGGCTGCTCCAGTCGCGCTTCGAAGCGCCGTGCGTCGCAAGGGTCCGCGCTGGTCGGGAGGAACTTCTGGGGGACGCCCCGCGCGCGTTGAGCTGGGACCAGAGCCCGCCCCCCAAAAAACGAATCGGGATCGTTCTCGAAGCTTTCCATGGCTGTGACGCCTGGGCTCTCTCGATGTGCAACTCGCGGGTTCGGCTGGGTGATCTGGAGTTCCAGGGGGTGTGGCGCATCCTCGTGGCGGACGGCCACGGCCCGCGCAAGACATTTCAACTCCGCCGATTCGCTCGCATCCACGGCGGCATTGCGAATCTCGCAACCGTAGGGCGTGGTTCTGAATCAGCGCGTCGCACGGGCATCTTCGGCTTTCGAGGCCACAGGGCTGTTGCAGCAGATGTCCGACGGCATGCGGGCGCCGCAGTTGCGGCACGATGGTCTCGTAAACAGGATGGCCCGCGCGCGCCGCGACGCGGGCTTGCGCGGAATCTCCGCGACGGAGTTGTTTTGCTCAGGTAGTGGCGAAGCGTCTCGGCTCGCCTATAGGCCCACCAAAGAATGCTCTAAGAACATGTCTATTGTGGTTTGAGCGAAATGTGTTTAAGACATGTCTGGGTGAGACTGTTTTGTTTAAACACATCGGGCCCATGTCTTAATACAATTGTTCCCGCCAAGGTCGCTGGCCCAGGGTTCTTTTTTTCCCGGAACGGGCGCGGGCCCCGGGTTTTTTTCGGAGGTTATCCCCGGGTCCGACTCGAGGTGGGTCGGCGAATTTCTTTCGCGATGAATAATGAGGAAAGGGTGGGCCGGCGAAGTCACATATTGAGGGCGTCCTGAACGAAACGCTTGGTTTGCAGAAATTGGCGAGGATGTCTCGAGCGAAAGGCTTGTTCCGCGTTATGGATTGCCCTCTCCTGGGGGTCTGAATTCAGAGGATCTCTCAAGTGAAATGCCTGTTAGACGCTTGGTTTCACGCGCCCAGGATGCCCAGGTATATGTCCAGCGCGAAGAGTGGTCGAGAATGTCTCGAACGAGACGCATGCTTTCACGCGCCCTGGTGGCTCACGCGGATGTCTAGCATGAGAATGCGTTGAGAAAGTTTCGATCGCGACGCTCGTTCGTGTCCAGTTTGCCCAGGCTGCCAGAGCGATGGGGATAGTTTCGGGATGTTGCGAGGGCGCATGACTGCGGCCCTCTGGGCTCGAACAGAAACGCGGCTCCGCGGGGGGCGCCGCGCATAGTAGCGGAGCCCGTGGCCTGAGATCCACGGGTTCTGCGTCGGAGGTGCGAGCCCAGGAGCCCAGCGGGAAGCGCCGCGGGTCTGCGGAGGGCAGCCTAGCAGCCCGGCGGGGACCTCCGCGGGCTGCGGAGGGCAGCCGCGCAGCCTAGCTGCCCAGCGGCTCAGCCTAGCGGCCCGGCGGGAAGCGCTGCGGGCGCGCGGAGCGCAGCCCAGGCCCCTTGCCGGCCGAGGCAGGGGCCTCGGCGGGCGCGACAGCGACGGGGCGGAAGAAGCAGAAGAAGCAGCGCGGGCGACGGCGGTCGGCGGACGCCGCCTGGCGACGGCAGCGACGCGGAGACGTCTGCAGGCCGCTGGGGTCGGCGCGGAGCCTCGTCGAGAAATTCGTCGGGCCTGAGCTCGGCCTGCCAACGTTCACGCACCGCGTGTTCGGGGGCGTCGTCTTCGACCAGGAGCTGGGCCACGCGTGGCCGCTCGACGTCGTGGGCGCGGGCGGCAACTCCTTCATGCCCCACGAGAGCGAGACCTACGCGGCCTTCGTAGCGCGGAGGTTCAGGGATGGAGGAGGAGTCGCGTGCAGCAGCGGCGCAGCAGGCAGCGGGCGACCCCGCGGCCGCGGCCGCAGCTGCAGCAGAAGCCTTGCCGCAGCAGCCGGCGGCGGCCCAGCAGGTGATGGGCGCGCTGCGAACGGCGGCGGCTCGAGCGGAACTTGCAGAGCAGGGGGCCCAGGAGCTGGGAGCGCGAGCAGAGACGACAGCCAGACAGCAGAACGCCCAGCTTCAGCAGCTTCAGCAGGCGCCTCAGCAGCTGACCGCCGCGGGGGGCGCCGCGGCGGCGAGCCCAGCTCCAGCCAGGAGCGAGGGTCGTCGGAAGTGGGACATCGTCAACGCGAAGCTGTTTGAACGACCACGCGGGCGGCGTGGACCGCGCGGCCGTTCAAGCGGCCGGTACATCGCGACGCCGGACGATGAGCTGCATCAGGAGATGATCGCGGTCGGGCGGAAGGCCGAAGAAGGCGTCGCCAGCGAGACGTTGGACCTGGCGAACCCAGCGCCCAGCATCAGCTCTGGGTCGGATGAGGAAGCTGATGGGGGGGGGGGGGGGGGGGGGGGGCGTTCGGAGCGGCGACGATCGAGACCGACATGAACGAGTTCGACGCGGCGCATCAGACGCACGGGCGGCACGGCAGCGCGGTGCCCAGCGACGCCGCGGCGGCGATCCACATTGCGGGGGTCCAGGGCAGGGGCCTTCAGCAGTGGCTGATGGTCAACGCCGACCGCCTCGGGGACTACGACGGGGTCGCAAAGTACGCGAAGGCGTACCTGGCGAACAGGAAGACGTTCAAAGACGCTGCAAGAGGCACCGCAGTGGGGGCCACCACTGCGGACGACAGCGGACCAGCGCCGATGGGCATCGGGTCCCTGACGGCGACGTTGGCAGCGAGAGGGGTGGCGCCAACCGAGGTGACGATGGTCGCAAGCGCCATCAAGAAGGGCAAGGGGAAGGGGAAGAGCTAAGGAAAAGACGGCGGCAAGAAGGGATACGGGAAGTGCTACGACGGAAAGAGGGACTCCCGATCGCAGCGCCAGGCGCAGAAGGACAGCAAGGGCAGACACGGCAATGATGCGCAGCGCGTCGAGACACGGGCGCGCAGGAGGTGCCATCAGAAGGGCCATCTGGCGAGAGACTGCCCTGACCAGGGCGCGAGAGTGAGCGGCGCAGCCAGCGAGACGATCGAGATGAAGGTCGCGTTGAACTTTGTTCAGCTACTTACGCCTGCCACGAGCTCAACAGCCTCGAGCGCGACTTCCGCGGCGCCGAGCAGCGTCGCCCAGGCGCGGGCCAACGCCGCGCAGCTGTCAAGGGCGAGCTCGGTGGCCGCTCCGAGCGGCGACAGCGCCAGCTCGGCGGGCGTCGGGGCCCGGGGGGGGGGGGGCACCGCGTCCGTCATCCAGTGGGCGCTGCGCTTGGCGGCCCAGGCTGCGGATCCCGTGAGTCGGACCCCGATGCTGCGAGCTCCATCGGATGGCGCTTCAGGAGGCGACGCCGAGAGCTGCGAGGAATACATCGCTGTGGATTTGGGGGGCCCCAGAGCGACGCGCCCACCCGGCCGCGCCCCGAGCGCGGCGGTGCGCGAGCCTACCCAGCTCTACGACATCCGCGCGGCAGCCGGCAGGCGCGCGAAGCACCGCGGAGAGAAGAGCGTGCAGTACAACCTGCTGGACAGCTCAGATGTGCGCGGAGTGGGCATCG